TCAACCCGAATGTCAGCGTACTTCGATACGCATTCAGAACACCTGCCTTCGCCAGTTGGCTGGTGTCTATGCGCTCAATGGATCGTCGAGGGTGACCGCCAAAAAGCACCCGCAGATCAGCACTTACAAGTGAATAGTCAGTGTCCACATATGTGCTCCAAATCGAGCGACCTTTTTGGACGCAGCCTATCCGGCGATAACTGATCGCAATGTGATCGATTTGCGTCCATAGCTGACCCAAGACTGGTGGGCGCCATGTCACCTTCCGACGGGTGCTGTGTCGGAAGTTAGTGTTCGCAAGAAATAAGCGAGCATCTTCACACAAATGAAGTAACCGCCCACCGTTATCATAACGGGAACCTACATCATATTGGCCGCCCAGACGCAACTGATCAATGGACAATTTTCCAACTTGAGCGTTCAGATCCCTAGCAAGCACTACAGTGTCTGTGCTTCTTCTGTGGCGGAGCCCGTTCAGTTGACGATAGAAATAGTCTTTTACCAAGTCTTCGTTACGGTTTGTGGGGGCGTAGGCAGCGATGACAAACAGAAACCTATTAGCCCCGCGCGACTTCGCAGCTTTGAACGAATCAGGCAGTCGGACCACACACATCCGGCTACTGATTCCGATACAATCAAGCAAAGCAGCTTCAGACCGAGGACTCAGGGCAATATCAACGTCGGCTTGTCCGGTACTCGAAGCTGCATCATTTCCGGATAGACGCAATGAGAAAGCACTGCCGGTGTCACCTGAAGGGATCGTAGAGCGAGAAAAGAGCACGTGTCTTGTAGGCCGGTTTCCGATAGGCAGCAGATATCGATCAACAGGGACTCTAATGTTCTGGCAAATGCTATCTGGTGGCTGATTTGTGACAATGTGCGTACGTTGAGAAACCAAGCTGAGGGAGGAGCACGGGGCTAAAAATGGAAGCCGATGAACTAGACTTGACCGCTTGGTTAGACATGCGTTTGTCGATAGGGTAGGAGTGACGGTCCGCGTTTGCATGTGAGTTGAAACTATCAAAGAATGGTGAGGGAGGGACAAGAATTTGGGAGTTGAAAACGAGGGGATTAAAGTAAAGTTGGAAACGGACGATAAGGGTAAAAAAGGCATAGGATGGGGAATAAGAAGATGGGAAGGCTTGAGCTTTAGCATTCAAACCCCTATGCACCTTGCTCGATGCATTAGGAAATTGTTTGAGGAAAGATTCATAGTATTGCGTGGGCAGGATATTGTCAGGTTGCACAGGCCTAGACAGGAGAACGATTAGGGTTCTCAACCAAAGCCTTTGGTTCATAAGCCTGACTGCAAGGTGGCGGGGTTTCGGCGCTGGGCTACAGAGTCCATGGTATGGAGTATGGCGCCACCATCACTCCAACCCACAATCTGGAAGGCCAGGAGACCGAGTTTGTCTGGCCTCAAACCATTAACCAATCTGGTATGAGTGACTCTGAAGGTGCCAATAGCACCACCTAGCATAGCTAATTGGATAGCTGAGGCACGCAAACCATCGCACCACAGCAAGATCCAGCTTCATTGCGATGGGTCGTGTAACCCATCCGAACTTCAAAGACCAACGACCGCTCGAAAACACGGCTAGTGGCCGACCCCTCAACGGTCTGCACAATCTCCACTCACAGTGCAACGGTTACTGCGAAACGGACCTGCTTGTATAGTAACGCACAAGGACTCAGTATTAAGTTGGCCGAACACCGTCATCCTCAGGCTTCCGAGCCTGCACATTTCATAATGTTCATCGAAACGTGGCTGAGCCGTGAAAATACCTACGTTGAGATCGCTCTACCCGGAAAGATAGGACGGGTAGGGGAGGGGGAGTGATCATTTATCACAAAACAAACCTAGGTTGTGAGCCCAAAGATGATCCTCAAGCATGTTTCATTTATCTCATCATTATACACGTTAGCTAGAAGTGTAAAACACCTCAGCTACTGTGTCGCAATACATAAAAGAAAAAAGAAAATAAACGCAACAGTTGCATGCCAGCTGACCTACCAGCAACGGATGGGCATCGTTCCGGAAAGCTAGCAGCCGGCTACTAGCCAATAAGAAAAATTATTATGTAAAATTATATTACGCTACGAAATGAGATCGTGGGTGGAGGGGAGGCTAAAAGGGATGGGGTGAGACAAAGAAACTCACAGCATGAACGCCACTGAGGTCGGCTCCTTGCCATGTCAACAAGTGTATCTAGCCAAACGTGTTCATCGTCTTTTGGACTCAAACCAGGAAGCCGTGAAGCTCCAACCGAGGCCAGCTCAGTTTCATTTATCTCCTGGTCCTCCAGGTTAGGGATTGGAATGAGAGTGGCTCCTTATTCTTTAAAACAGACTCCTTATAGCCCAACGCCAAACTCGCTACCTTGCGGTCAAGTTTTCAAACCAAAGGCTTTGGTTGAGAACCCTAATCGTTATCCTGTCTAGGCCTGGGCAACATGACAGTATGCTGTCCACGCAATACTATGAACACTAGGTCAAACAAATTTCATTTATCTCCTTTGGCACAAACTGTGGTAGAAGGACGACGACGACACAAGCCTTGTGTACGTAGTTCGTCGACTGCCCAAATTCACTCCAAAAATGGACCACAGACTGATAACTGCATTTTCAACGTCCACGATCTGGAAAATGGGGAGACCATTTTCTAAGCTTATTAGTTAGAGGTAATCTCTCGCATACCTCTGTATAACCACGTCACCGCTCCCACCAGGTTCAGTACAGTGAATAAGCCATCAATGTTAGATCTAGTACTCACCAGAGAGGAGCTCATGGTTGATAAGCTAAATGTATGCAGTCCTCTGGGTCGGAGCGAGCACGTGACTTTACTGTTCGATTACATTTGTTACTCCGAATATCCCGATGCAGAGGCCAGAAAAGCTGAAACGAAGCTGCGCAAAATGCCCCGATCTCAGTGGAGACTATATCGAATTAAGGTAGTATTTCTCTACTGTCTAGTTAAAGCCTGTAACTTGCCAGCACCCAGGCGTTATGTTCGACCAATTTCACTAACAATGATGTCTTGGGGCCGATGTAGTTCTTTCTCTGACTCTGTTAGACAAAGGATGCAGTGCAAACGAGCTTCAGTCAATCAGCACCGTGGCAAATAACTACAACACCTCGCGCGTCCAAATATCACATTTGTTAGGTCCAGTTTGCATTGCTAATATGGTTCGACCCTTGAGTGTAGGTTAAGTACGGCGCGTAGCCCGATGGATAAAGCGGAAGGCGCAGACGTAGTGTGGAACCGTTTAATTAAAGCCTCCAGTAACAGCGGCTGGAAATGCTGAAACAGAAAACCAATGAAATAAGGAAGTAAGACAAGGTTATTGTCAACCCATCATGTGACCACCTGTGTTCACGATCTATATTCAAGTGTCCGTGTGACAGTGCATCTCTTCATTCTGAATGTACATCCCCACCACGACGCCTGCCTTCTGCTAATTTCCAAAGCATCCAACCGTACGACCTCTACTCTGGCAGTGCTATTGTCTGGGGCATTCGAGACTCAAGTGCACACACGTAGGCAGTTACAATAGTCCTATATCGCTTTCTTTCTCCATTACTCCGTCGCCCATCAAAAGACAGCTCCCACTTCATGAATTACGTCGCAGTCTGTTTCGGTTACAGCCCAGCTAACACTGCATGATCTCTTCTCGCACGGTTTCTACTTGGCCGTGCCAATGTCTTCGTCTGGAGTCTCACATGTACACACACGCTAATGATACCTAAAGAGGGTATGTATCAGAAGATTTGTCCACAATGTCGTGGTTGTTCGCCATCTGCTTGTAGGTCAGACTGCGGTGATCGCGTAACTTCCTCTCTTTTCCTCTATTATGATGTGCTGTCGATCTAAAAACCACGTTTCCTAATTTTTGTTACCCTGCATTACGTGAGACATTCCGTTGACAATATTTCGAACTATTCCGTTGCTTTAAACATATGCCAGTTGCTCGATACTTAGATTAAGCTTCCTCATTGCAACTATTAAATTTGTCGTACATTTGAGATCAGGAAAGTAAACGTCCGCATTTGCCTAAAGGAGGTTTATGTTGTTTTTCGCTGGGTTATTTTTAGCATTAATCATTCCATGAGCCTATCACGAATGTTTTCCCCCGGATGTGTTACTTCCATCATCATACAAACATCTCCCTTTCCTGCCCGCATACAATGCCACTGGTAAGTGTCTACCCGGATTGAGCACACAATGGTCAAACAGTTCCCAGTGATTAAACGAATCAAAGTAACAGCGTATGGTGAAAAACCTTGGTGGCTTAGAATTCGGGGCAAAGTGTAGCAACAAGTACAAATACCCTCGGTTGCATCACTAATTGCACAGTGGAACATTTTCTCAACTCTTCAATTCACTAAGCCAAACTCGTCCGATATTCAAAGTTAAGCATCAGCGTTTTCGGGTGGGCAACAGCCAATCTCTATTTGCATCAGCTACGATCGAAAGACCAAGATTCACTTCAATGGGAATCGCGGTCAACATTGAGACTGCGCGTCGCAATCCATCCACACAACGTCTACCTCAAAATATCCCTCAACATCGTTCATTATACCGTTGTGTCAAGCGTTGCCCGTCATGACCCGGTGGCTTAGGCGTAGCGGTCACAACTAACATCCCAATGGTCCCGGGTTCGATGCCTGCTATCTCTATCTGATGAGACGTAATAACATCGAAACGTGTCATAGTAGTGCAGTGTTTTCGGGCGGGCAACACCCAAGTTCTATTAAGCATCAATATTTATCTGAAATTTCGGTGCTAACAAAAATTTTACATCGAAATGTCATAAAAAGTTGACCTTGATAATGAGTTTCAAGTCGCTTCGCGAAGCATAGTGAATAATTCATTAGGAACCTCATTTTTATACTGATCATGGTCAGTAAGGTCTTGATTAGTTGTACTACAATATGATTAGTGATGCTGTAACACCCGTGAGGAGATAACCATCAAATAAACACAACAGTTTCATACTCACCCAAATGAACCGATTCCATGTGCAATTTCAAAGCGCCTTTCTGAGTGTACGAGTTACCACACTGCTCGCATACATATGGACGCTCAGCTAGATGATGAAACAGAAATTCAGTGATTACGGGTAAACGAAATGATGAAAACAGATGCAGAATGGGATCTGTGCTACACAAAAACTTTGGTGGTAAACAGTAAAGTTGTAAATCCTTTACGTAACAATTAGGCTCGTAGAACCGAGAGTACCACGTAGCTCGACCGATGGAGATGACAAATGGTAAACACGAGAACCGCTGGAGACAAACAATATATGCATATGCGAAACAGTGTTCAACATAAGCACAAACGATGTGATGCAGAATCTGCAGAGGAGAAAGTCCTCACCAGAATGCTAACGTGATTCTGTATCATATGCAATCGGTGAGATCGCTCTAGAGAAATGACCACTGCTGCTGAGTCCAACAGAAGTGCTTGTTCGGGTTGCGTTCGATCGACTGCCTCGTGCGACTTACAGATCATGCAAAAGTGAAAAACCTCGCGTGTTAGTCAGCTTAGGGCTATGATCGCCCGCCACATCTGTCCATCCGAATAGGCAGAACAAACAGCGATCACGTGCCGCTATCATAACACCGCTTGTATTGCAATAGGTTTCATGACATGTATGTGATTAAAGAGGAATTAAACGACGGCGAGAAATACATTTACAACAGTGTAGTAGGGACATTCGAGTGGGATAAGTAAAAGTTTATCACAACTGGACTCATTCATCATCATCATACACGCTGGCTAAAGGTGGGAAACACCTCAGCTACTGTGCCGCAGTACTCTGGATGAGTCTGCGTCTGGATTAATTCAGACACTCATCACACGCCTGGAAAAGCACTGTACGGCTATTTCACCCTTCCGCGGATCCTCGACAGTTCGCACTCCATCTGAATACTGTGAGGCTAGAAACCGAAACTCGCCTGATACCAGTCTGTGGTTGAGACCACTGAGCAACGGTGGACGGTAACGACCGACAGAGGGACGAAGTAAAATGCAGAACGGTCTACAGGAGGACTAGATACAGTGTGTGTGTGTATGTGTGTGTGTGAATTTTCGTTACAACTCGACCTTCCAAAAAACCCGACGTTCATCGTCCCCTGCATCAATTCAAGCTGGGCCTCAAAGTTCGGACAACTGGTACAACACCAACAGACTGATAATCAGCATTGGGAACATTGTGCTGACGCGTTTTCATTGCTCGCCCGAGGAAGCAATCAGAGACGGCCGAAAGAAATTGCTGATGGAGATGAGATGGGGGCTCCATGTCAACGGTGACAGGAAGCGTCAGTGAAATGAAGCAGAGGAAACGCAAGTACAAGTCCCAAAAGGCGAACTGCACTGTGATCGCCATTTACTGAGAACTGCTACCTGAAAGTTCTACGGTAATGACCGATGTCGACTGTAATCAACTGCAAAAGATGTTTGATGAACACCGAAGAAGCGAACTGTTCAATCCTTTTCCGCATGATATCACAAACATCAAGTGCCAACCATCGCGATGAGACTGGACCTTAACGTGATTCGATTGCTTGTGTGCCTCAGCGATCCATTAAGCTTTGCTGAGTGGTGCTTTTTGCACCTTCAGAGCCATTCATATCAGATTGGTCAATGGTTTGAGGTCAAACCAACTCAGTCTCCTGGCACTCCAAGTTGGAGTCAGGGGAGCTCCTTACTCCATAAAATAGGCTCTCTGTAGTCCAGTGACAAACCCCGCTACCTTGCAGTCAGGCTTATGAACCAAAGGCTTTGGCTGAGAACCCTAAACTTCTCCTGTCTAAGTCTGGGCAATCAGACAGTATCCTGCCCACGCAATACACCATGACCTTTAATTCTAACAATCCTTTGACGGTGCCCTATCTACTGCATCGCGCAGGGTGGATAGGGGTTTGGATGCTAATGCTCAGACCTTCCCTCCTTCTTATTCCCCTTCTTGCGTTTGTCCATCCTTAGCGTTCTATTCCAATTTCACTTTCATCCAGCCGTTTTCAATATCCCAATTCCTGGCCCTCCCCCACCTTGCTTCAATAGTCGCTTGTCTTCTAGTTGCAACTCGCACAATCGCAGGGTGTCGCTCCAATTCAGTCGACAAGCCCACATCCAACCAAGTGGACAACGTCAGTTCATCCGTTTCCCTCAGGAGTCCTCGATTCTCGCTAAGACTGGCGCGCCTGCAAGATTCGAGAACCGTGTTTTCTCTGCGATCCCCCACATGTGACATTGGCGGCACATTCTCACTGCGCCTGTCTGGCGATGACGCAGCTTCAAATACCGGTCATGCTGGCGTCGGCATTGTTGTGTGTCCCCGGGATGAAGCTGCCCTGAACGACTGGATTCCTGTCAACAGCCGGATGTGCATCGTTAGGCTGGCTGGCTCGTTCCAGGCTTGGAAGTCGCGCAGGGACAAACGGTGTCTGTTTATCATTGCGGCTTACGCCCCCCACGAACTACATCCCTGCTTCGGTGAAAGATGATTTCGAGCATCAACTTAAAGATCTTTTTAGGTATAGAAGAAGCACGGATGCAGTGGTGCTTACTGGTGATCTAAACGCCCACATCTGAAAATTATCCTATGATGAGCTTCATCTGGGCAGCCAACATGGTGTAAGCTTCCGTAATAATAACGGTGAGCGGTTGCTACAACTAAGTGAAGGTGCTCGTTTCTTTCACGCGAGCACTAACTTTCGACACAACACCCGCAGAAGAGTGACTTCGCGCCCACCAGTCTCGGACCAGCTACGGACGCAAAACGATTACATCGCGATTACTTACCGATGGAGAGGCTGTGGCCAAATTTGTCGCTTGATTAGGAGCACGAGCGTGGACTGCGATCACACGGACCTGCGGGTGCGTTTCGGCGGAAGTCCGCAATGTCACTGTGAGCGCATTAACACCAGCCAGCTGGCGAAGCCAGGTGTTCTGAACGCGTATCAAACTATGTTGGCATCTGGGCTGAGTGAGCGTCTACTGAACATCGTCAAAGATCACCGGTCGCATATTCGTCAAACGTTATTATCAGCAGGCAAGTCTTCACGTGGAAAATCAAATTGCCAAACTGGACATTGGGTCTCTACACAGTCTCTGTAACGTATGGATCATCGCCGACGTATCCCGTCTGGAAGCGAATACAATGAGACTCGCAAAAATCTCAGGGCAAAACTGCGTGCTAGCCTGAAGGGAGACCGCGAAGCCTGGTGATCTCAAGGTGCAACGGAAATAGAAACAACCGCTGCCGTTGGTAATCATCGTAAGTTATTCCAACTGATACGCGAAACAGGCAGCAGGAGACCTGGTGCTGGCCAGACAATACGTGAGGAAAGGACAGCCGATGCACAGCTTGTCAAAACGCTTGTAACATTGGGTCGAATAGTTTACAAGGCAGTTTAACCAATCGGAGTTATCGCACTCTCTTTCGGGCATTGAGTGCCATTCTCCATGGGATTTCTAATTAAATTCGCCCTCAGGCGCAGAAGTCGAACGCGAGAGCAGACTGAAGAAATTGCATAAGGGCGCTGGTGGAGATAGAATATTCCCAGATATCTAGAAATTCGGAGAACCTTCTTGTGGAGGATTTACACGAGTTGCTAAGGTAACTTAGAGACCAGGAAACTGTCCCGACAGATTGGAACCGCTTCGTCATTGTCCCAGTTTTCAAGGCAAACTCCCGTTTGGAATGCAACAACCATAGAAGGATAAGTCTGATCACAATTGCTTTTATATTGCTTGAATCTGTCGTTCTCCACAGACTGACTGGCGCTCGTGAAGGCCAGGTCCGCGAAGAGCAAGCCGGGTTTCGTCGAAATCGAGGCTGCATCGACCATATCTTCACTTTGCGTCAATTATTGAAGCACCGCCATGTGTATTGGCGACCCACCGTAGTTGTGTATCTTGACATCAAAGGTGCGTTCCATTCAGTGGATCGATGTCCCCCGTTAGGACTGTCTGCTCAGGAAAGGTGTGTCCGACAAATAGATAAACATTATCAAAGCGCTGTGCACGCATAGCTAGGGCAGAGTGAGGGTTTATGTCAAACTGTCACAGTCCTTCAATATCTCCAGCAGTGTGAGACAAAGTCGCCTGCTATCACCTTATTTCTGCGCTATTGATAAAGTCATGGAAACAGCGTCCGCTAGACACGATCTAGGAAGTGTGGAGCTACTTCCTGGTGAGCGACTTCTTGACTTGCAGTATGCGGACGACATTGCCCTCATATGTGACAGCGCCCAAACGTGCCAGGCTGCACTGGGCCGAATAGCACTGGCTGTCAATCGTTTTGGGCTATGCTTTGGTCCATCGAAATGCAAAGTTCTTCTCCCAGATTGACAGCGACGCACATCTGAGCTAACGTTTGGTGGTGATCAGCTAGAAGTCGTTCAGGAATTCAAGTACCTGGGCAGCTGTATTAGCGTCCGCGGGATCGAAAGAGATTACGAACCGTATAGGTAAAGCATGTGCTTTTGCTAATCTCCGCCACCTGTGGCGCAGACGCGACAACACTCTCGCTTTGAAGGGCAGAGTTTATAACGTAGCCGTCAGTTCAACCCACTTATACGGTTGTGAAACCTAGCCAATCAGGTCGACAGACATAAAGAGGCTAGCCATGTTCGATCATCGCTGCCTTCGCAGCTTGGCTCATGTCTGGTGAGAGCACCGTGTGAGCAATGAGCGTGTTCGGCGTTGCGTATTTGGTGCAGGAAGAGCGAGTGAACCGCTCAGCAGTATTATATCACGCACCAGGCTCAGATGGCTGGGCCACGTATTGTGCATGTCAGCACACCGACTCCCGCGACGTGCGTTGTTTGCGCGCCGAGGGTGCGAATGGAAGAGAGGAGGCCAAGCGATGACTTGGTCGAGAGGAATGAAAACCCTTACGTCGAAGTTAGCGTCGGCTGGTGAATTTCGAATGTTTGGCTGGAGTTCTAAGGACGATGAACACGTTTGCTTGGACACACTTGCTGATATGGCTGACAGCCGGCCCCAATGGCGTTCCTGTTGTGAATTCCTTTGTCCATCCCGCTCCTATTTAGCCTTCCTCTTCAATCACGATCTCAATGATTAAGCACAGTATAACACACTTTATGCGGCACGATAGCCGGTTGGTAGCTCTCCGGAACGACGCTCATCCGTTACGGGGGACACAGTCAACGTGCTTCTGTTGTATTTTTCTTCTTCTTGTCTTTTGTATTGCGGCACAATAGCTGAGGTTTTTTTTACACCTGCAGCTAACGTGCATAATGAATGAATAATGAATGTAACGTGACAAAGATAATTGATCTCAAGATTCATCAGCTCGAGATCCAGCAAATAGCCCAGAACTTGCACCTAATAACTACATCTCATCCGCGCACTGCAAAATCACATCGAGGACAAGAACTATGGTGACCGCCACCGCTACCGCGTTGAACCGTATATTGTCCAAAATTTCGAAGGTTAGGCCAGGTCGTCAAACGAAAGAGATGTGGACAGACTGCCTAGGCGGTGGCAGAAGGTCGTGGTTAACGACGAAGGTTAAAAAGAATATAATTTATTAAATGTTTAAAATAATGATGATAGAGGATTTGTAGAAAGTAGAGGATTTACAGTAAAAAGTTCAACTGATGAAAGTTCTAGGGAGCAATGGGGTAATATATGATGCCACAACACATGTGATGGAATGAAAATCAGATAAATTCAGCAGATTCAACTCACCCAAATGAACACCTCTGACATGCGTTTCCAAAGCGCCCATATGCGGGAAACATTTGTCACACTGGTCACATTTAAAGGGGCGCTTAGCTGGATAATGAAACAGAAATGGAGTAATGATAGGTGAAACAGGTGGGAGAGCAATCGTGATATACGAGGACCGTAATGACGGAAGTTATCATTAAGTGCGAGGTGGCAGCTGGCAACAAAACACATTACCCTAATAGTACGTGTGAGACTATCGAACAGCAGCACGACCAGGTGATGCAGAGTCTGTAGAGTCGAAAGAGATTTCAGTATAGTGATAACACCATCCACTGTGGTCTCAACTATCCGACCTGAAACGACCAACCGGTAGGCATTCGAGGCTATACAGACAGGTAGGTGGGTTTTCAGTCTGGTAAGAATTCGCTCACACGCATGCCAGCGACACCGGAAATGACGCTTTTGGCAAGCAAACTGGCTCCAAAGTTGACGATTCTGGACAATCGGAATCCACATGAGGTTAGAAGAATTTTCCATCCGCAATCTCCGACCCTATCAAAAATCCATTCGCTGTCTAGATAGCTGGCTGTTATCAAGGGTCTGTAAATAAACCTATGCTTATTAAATCTGATTCTGATAAGAGCACATATCCAGGAAGAGAATCAAAGTGTTCTTTCGCACTTTCTTGTATACCGAGGAATTCAAAGCTGAGTTTCGTACAGCAAGTCCAATAGAGTACGCAAGCAACGGCCCAACAGTAGATCCACAGGACTGCTTCTGGCAGTATCGTTCACTACATATAATTCACTATATTTCGGTAAGCGAAAAGGCGCGATCCAGGCACTAAAGCATCTCTTTGTTTAAGCAGCATATTTCACACTGTCGGTACGACCCATTCAGCTAAATCCTTTAAAGACGGATGATCGGAGTAGTAGACATGTGTCTAGTTTCATTTGAAGTGAAAAAGGTGGAAAACTCGATGTTGCTAAACACAGATCCGTAGTGATGATTAAGAGTGAACGCAGTTGGCTGATGTTATTTTGTTCAGAAGATGGGAATGAATGTACAATTAAACTAAACATCAACGACTAGCAGAATCACCTAACTTTTGGATGAAATAAGAGAACATATTTCCGGGGCGTTTGTGATCACTCCCAAGGCTGCAACAATGCCGGGAGGTAGCAGCGCTTCGAGATTCTTGGCAGCTCACGCAACATTCAGTTTGTATCGCAACGTCGTTATTTGATAATGGTCAACATATATGGAAACTGACGAGCAACTCGGTTATGTGATTTGTCACTGCGCTTTTACACTGTTCTTTTTGTATTTCATTTCATCCAACTTACTAATAGAGACGTAAGCGGAGCTAAAGTTGGATATCGACTGAGAATTGATCGGCCAGCAATTACCAGTCCGCGTAAAACGAATCGAACTATACCGTCAATATGATAAACCCGTGGAGTGGAACTCACTCACACTGGCTGAAAACCGGACGCACAAAAATGAGCGATCTTCACCTCCTAAATTAGCATGTTTCGACTACCTATAAATACAGTTAACTTATGGTGTAGATAGACTCCCTGTTTACCGAGCCTTGGTCTTCTGTATTCCGTCGGTTGGGTTAGCGCGTGACTGACAAGTCAGACAGTCGTAGTCTCATAGGGCAGCTAGCAACCGTACAACAGTCATCAGTGGCAGAGAGCAGAGGTAAAGTAGAAGCGTTACAACGGTGGCGACAGGAGTCGGAAGAACCCCAAAATGTCAGTCAGTTTTGAGCAATTACAGTCTCTCTTGCAGCAACAGCAGGCGTAGTTTGAGAAAGCACAGGCCAAGTTGATCGAAACGCTGACCAAGAATTTGTTACTACAGGCAGGTTTGGTAACAGGAACAAGTGAACGTTGCCCCTCAGCAGAAACCTTAACCCAGCAAGTTTGTGAGTTCCGTTACGATGCTGATGCCGGTATTACCTTTGAATCGTGGTTCCATAAATACGAATACCTGTTTCGAGTTGATTTAGCCGGTGCTTCAGAGGACAAGAGAGTACGCCTCATGCTGCGGAAATCGGGTGCGGCCGAGCACGAAAAGTTTATGAATTTCATCTTGCCGAAAAGGAGCACTGATTTAACATTCGATGAAGCGGTTGCTACTTTGTCCCAGATATTTGGAGAGCAGTCGTCATTATTCAATATCCGATACAGGTGCCTGACAATGACCAAGTGAGACGACGAAGACTGGATTACTTACTCGAGTCGCGTAAATCGTGAGTGCGAACGGTCGCTGTTTCACAAGATGACAGCTGATCAGTACAAGTACCTTATTTATGTGTGTGATCTTCAAGCAACCAAAGATGCGGATGCCCGAACAAGAGTACTGAGCAGAATTGAACAAAATCCCGAGATCACACTGCAGGAAGTGACGAACGAATGCCAACGGTTGATGGACTTGAAGCATGATGCTGCAATGGTCCAACAGTGCTCTTTCCAGAGTAGTCAGGACATCATTAGCAGGGTCAGCAGAAGTCCTCGGAAAGAAGTGGTTCATGTGAGTTCACCACATTCTAAACCCTCTTCTGCTTGTTGGTTTTGACGGGAATGGCACTTTAGTCGAAACTGCCCGTTCCGAAATCACATTTGCAATCGTTGTGGTAAGCGAGGACACAACGAGTCGTGTTGTCTTGCGAAGCGACCAACAATGAGCGGAATACGGCGTCGAATCTCGGTGCGCTTCCGATGTCACAACGAGGCCAAAACGGTGACGGCGACATTCAAGGTTGACGGTGTCGGCAGGCGTAAGTTTACAATTTTGAAGATCAACGACAAGGAATTTAAGCTGCAGTTGGATACTGCGTCAGACATCATTCTGATTTGTCGAGACACATGGTGTATGCTGGGACCACCAAGGTTGTCCACACAGACCACACAGCACGAAACGCATCCGGCGGTACTTTGAAACTTCTCGGAGAGTTGCATTGTCAAGTCAGTTTCCGTGATCAGCACATTCGTACAACCTGTTTTGTGACAGATCAACTAGGACTGAATTTGCTGGGACTCCATTGGATGGAGGAATTGAAATTACTTGACCAGTCAGTTAACAGTATATGCCAGTAATTACACGTTGAGAAACCCCCAAAGACGCAAAATATGAACTTCGAACTTTACAGTCAAATTGCAGAATTGAAGCGAATCCACGAAAGTTTGTTCCAACCCGGTCTTGGATGCTGCCACATAGCCAGAGTTGAGCTGAACCTCAAACCAGACCACTCTTTAGACCAAAACGTCCAGTGCCGTACGCAACACAACCAATAGTGGAGTCCGAGTTAAATCGGTTGCAGTCGGAGGACATAATCAAGCGCGTACATTACTCCGAATGGGCGGCACCCATCGTTGTGATAAAGAAAGGAAACGGCAAGGTACGTATTTGTGCTGACTTTTCAACCGGCTTAAATTCCATGTTGGGGAACCACCAGTACCCTTTGCCTATACCTAAAGATTTGTTCACCAAGCTTAACGGTGGAAAATGGTTTGCGAAACTCGATCTAGCTGATGCTTACTTACAAGTTCCAGTAGCCGAAAACTGCAGAACTCTATGGACGGTCAATACGCATCTGGGTTTTTTTCCCAGTACAATCGGTTGCCATTCGGAGTGAAAACTGCTACCGCCATTTTTCAACAAATCATGGATACGCTGCTGAACGATATCCGTGGGGTCGCAGTATACCTGGATGACGCATTGATTATGGGGTCTGACCCACAAGCATTGCTGGCCACATTAGAGAAAGTGCTCACTCGTCTAGAAGAAGCTGGTTTCCGGTTCCGAGCGGAAAAATGCAATTTCCTGATGGAAAGTGTCAAATTTCTTGGGTTCATCATTGACAAACATGGCAGACTTCCGGATCCCGCTAATATAGAATCCGTCAAGCAAATGCCACCACCAAGGGATGTTGCCGAACTTCGTTCATTTCTCCGTCTTATAAGTCATTATAGTGCCTTCGTGCCAAGTCTACATACTAGAGGTCCTCTGAACCAGTTGTTGATGAAGGGGAAAAAATGGCGATGGACAAAAAGTGCCAACAATCCTTTGATACAGTTGAAACAGCGCTCAGTTCTGGTTTACTTTTGACCCACTTCAATCCAAACATGGAGATTGTTGCTGCTTCGGACGCCTCCAATTATGGAGTAGGTGCTGTCATTTCTCATGTGTTCGCTGGAGGAGAAGAAAAGGCCATTGCGCACGCAGCATGGTCGCTGACAGTGGCGGAGAAAAATTACAGCCAGGTTGAGAAGGAAGCGCTGGCGATTGTTTTCTCAGTGAAACGGTTTCATAAGATGCTATATTATAAACATTCCAAACTGATCACGGAGCACAAACCTCTACTCTCCATATTTGGATCAAAGAAAGATATATTCCTGTTTTCACAGCAAGTCGCTTACAGAGATGGGCAACCGTACTGCTGGCTTACGATTTCAGTATACAATATCGATCTACACAACAACTCGGCCAAGCTGACGCTCTATCTCGCCTCCACGGTTCCCACTTGAAGGAAAATGATGAATGCGTGATTGCATCTGTCAAATTCGAGTCGGAAGTTCAGCGCATCCTGGTTGACAGCGTAAGGGAATTGCCAGTAACGTCGGAAACGATTAGTGCAGAGACGGCTCGAGACGATATCTTGCTGAAAGTGATCGGGTTTGTGCAGTCCAGTTGGCCTAATGTCAGAAATTCGAATGGGTTACAACCTTTCTTTAATCGAGGCGGATCCCTTTCGGTCGTTGACAATTGTCTAATGTTTGGAGACCGAGTCGTGGTACCAAGGAAGTTGCGTAGGCGAATACTACAGCAGTTTCATTCAGGACATCCGAGAACCAGCCGAATGAAGGCACTGGCGCGAAGCTTTGTGTACTGGCCTCAAATGGATGCAGAAATCGAGCAATTCTGCCAAAGTTGTGAATCTTGTCAACAAGCGGCAAATGCACCTCCGAGATGTTCGTGGCACCCTTGGCCCGAGTCGAAAAAGCCCTGGCAGAGAATCCACTTGGATTATGCGGGACCAATCAACGGTCAATCTTATTTGATTTTTGTTGATTCCTACACAAAATGGCGCGACG